GATATTTTCTCCCATTCTGTAGGTTGTCTATTTGCTCTGTTAATTATTTCCTTGGGACTGATCAGGGAGGGAAAATGACAGATCAGTGGTGACCTCCTCGCTATCTGCTCCCAGAGTAGGAGGTGAAGAATGTGGACAGCTAAACAGGAGTGTATCTCTCTTCCACAAGAACAGCATCATGAATCTGCAGAGAAGCAGCACTGGAAAAAAAAAAGAGGTGAATTGGAGAATTGGCCACAAAGTCTGGAGAGTGCTACATATATAATAGGAAATGGAGCATGGGACGGCCGTCTCCATTGCCTGGCCAGAGCAGTGTGATCTGACCCACAGGAGGATGACCCTTCCTCCACCGACCTTCACGTCCACTCAGGCAGGGAAGCACCTGAAGTCAGTGCAAAGTTGTGGCATGGGACAACAGGCTGTGTGGAGAAGAGACAATAGCAGGAAACATTTTGAACTCCCTGGTGCTCTGTGCTGGGTCCACACTGGGCGGGGGAGGGACTGGTCTGAGTGGACACTTCCCGAGTCCGAAGGAAGGAGTTTGGAGACCGGCACCTTGCCTCTGGTGGTCAGCAGGACCAGAACAGAGGGGGTGAACGCTAAAAGGGAGGCTCTGCCTCTGGAAACCGCTGAAGATTTAGCTGGCTCAGGGTGGGACAGAGAGTGCAGGACCCTCTAATGGACTGACATGAGACAGTGGGATAGGGAAGCAGTGGGTACAGCCGGTGGCTCATTGAGATAGCCTGCCAAACCCAGCACCTGCTGTCCCCCAAGCAGTCGCCTCCAGTGCTGGCTCTCCGGGGGTGGACAGCTGCCATTTTGGGGGTCCATAGCCTAGAAACGCTGTGGCACCTTGCGGTTCTGGGCACCACCCCTTCCCCAGCCCAGCAGGGCAGGCTCAGGCAACAGTCTCAGGCAACGCCCCTTCCCCGCCTGGCAGAGTAGGCCCTGCCCTTGGAGGAGGGGAGTAACAAGAGAATCCGCTTTCTGGGCTGGGACGCTCTGCGGCCTCAGTGGCTTGGATGATCTTTCTAGTTCTGTCAGTGGGGTGTTCAAGTCCCTGACAATTACAATGTTGCTGTTTATCTCTCTACTTAGGTTTAGTAGGGTTTGCTTTATGAATCTGGGTGCTCTGTGTTAGGTGCATAAATATTTAGGATTGTTATGTCTTCTTGTTGAATTTCTCTCTTTACCATTATATAATGACCTTCTTTGTCTTGCTTTACTATTATAAAGTCAATTTTGTCTGATATGAGAATGTCTATACCTGCTTTCTTCTGGTTTCCATTTTCATGGGATATTTTTTTCCATCCCTGAACCTTGAGTCTATAAGAGTCCTTGTTGGTTAGATGTGTTTCCTGGAGATAGCAGATAGTTGGCTCACTTTTTTTTTTTTTCTATCCATTCAGCCAGCCATGTCTCTTGAGTGGTTAATTCAAACCATTTATGTTGATCAATATAATTGATATGTGGGATGCTGCTCTGTTCATTCTGTTAGTATCGTATTGTTTTATTTTACCTCTTGTATTATTGCTGTATTTGAGCTCTGATCCTTAGCTTTTGGATAGTTTTACACTGAAGAATGACCACTGTCTTGTTCCATCTATAATGTAGTTCTTAGTATTTCCTGCAGAGCAGGTTTGGTCTTGACAAATTCCCTCAGTGTTTACTTGTCTGGAAATGTCTTTATTTCTTCTTTATTTGTGAAACAGTTTTTCAGGATACAAAATTCTAGACTGGAAATATTCTGTTTAAGACTGAAAATGGGGCCTCAATCCCTTCTGGCTTGCAAGGTCTCAGTTGAGAATTCTGCAGTTAGCACGATGGATTTTCCTTTGTAAATTACTTGATGTTTTCACCTTACAGCTCATAGAAGTTTGTCCTTCATGTTGACTTTGGCCAGTCTGATGACTATGTGTCTTAGTGATTGCCTCTTTGTAGTAAATCTCTTAGGTGTTCCTTGAGCTTCTTGTACCTGAATGTTTAAATGTCTACCAAGATCAGGGAAATTTTCCTCAATTACTCTCTCTAATAGGTTTTTCAGCCCTTGTGCATTTTTTCTTCACTCTCTGGGATGCCTATGATTCTTATGTTTGGGTGTTTCACATAATCCCATATTTCTTTAGACTTTGTTCATTCATTTTAATTCTCTTTTCATTATTTTTGACTGACTGATTTAATTCAAAAGAATTGCCTTCAAGGTCTGAGATTCTTGCTTATGCCTAATCCAGTCTATTCATAAAACTTTCAACTGTGTTTTGTATTTCCTTAAATGAATTTTTCATTTCCAGAAGATCTTTCTGTTTTTTCTTCAATATGTTGATTTCTTTAGTGAATTTTTCATTCATTTCCTGAATTGTTTTCTTAGAGTTGGTTCCCCATTTTCTCTTGGATTTTGTTGAGCTTCCTTATAATCCATATTTGGAATTCTTTATCTGTCATTTCAGTATTTTCATTTTGCTTATTATCCTCTGCTAGAGGGCTGGTGGTCCCTTTGGTGGGAGACCTTTTGTTCTGATTTTCCATACTTCTGGAGCTCTATTGCTGATTCCTTCTCATCTGGAGTAGTTGTTGCTTCTCCATTTTGGACTTTATTTTGTTTAGATGGGGTTTTTCCTCTTACTCACATGTATGGGAGTGTTTGTAGCATATATTGGGCAAGAAACTTTGGCTTGCATTTTGGGTGTTTTGACGGTGATCTAGGTTTTAGATAGAGGCTTTAGTTATGGATAGCCTTAGTATATTGCTCTTCTCAGTTGCTAGTTGTTTGTAGGCTGTAGCAATGGTGAGCTCTGTGTGTGGGCAGATTCCCTATCTCTCTTTGATGAGAGAAGATGGAGGCTTTTGAAACCCTTTCTCTATCCCCAGCCCTGTGGTCTTTTTAGTGGTGTGAATTGTAATGGTGTGACATACTCTGAATTTAGTTTTCTGTCTGTAACATTTAATTTTTAGTGAATATAAGAGTTTCTATAATCTGAAAGTTGTGTTAAACATATTCCAGAAATATATAGACTTTCATTATAATAACTATTAAGGGATTATTTATGTGGATATTATAGTTGATATAACTCTGATTTTTGCTTTCAGGTGTTAAATTCTTAAACTAAAAATTTTGCTAACAAAGTAGTTTCCAGATTTGTAAATTTAGCTGAATTCTAAACTAATTTTCCATGTTGGTGGGGGTCTACTGTATCAATAAGACAACTGAATTATGTGTCTTTATAAAATATGTGCTTTCCCAAAGTTAATAGCATTTGTTTATGTATCACAGCAAAAGCTTATCTAGGCAGAATTGCAGCTGTCTGATACTACGTTTTTGCATACAAGGCATTGAAATCTAATATATTATCAGTTATAGGGAATGAGAATGTTTCCTTTTGTAAACATTTTGCATATTGAAACATTTGGCTTATTACTTATCTGAGTGGAAAGAACAAATTAAAATGGGATTCAACACCTCTGAAATCCTGTGTTTATTTTTTTAACCAAGACCTAACTTGGTCCAATGCCTAGTAAATCTCTTCTACGCAATAAGTTCTGCTAACTTCTGTCATTAGAACTTAAAAAAAAATAAATAAATAATATGCTTCTTGAGAAA